TTGTTTTGATGAGTTATTATTGTGAGAATGTTGATGACAGATAAGTTAATTTGTTATTAAAATATGGTAATTAATAAGCGTATTTTGATAGTTTGTTTGTGATGGTTAGTAACGATTCATATTCTACTAGATTAAAAGTTTATGAATTTAAGATATTATGTCACTGTGTTATGACCTTTGTTGAAGTCTAGAATATTTTGATTGAAGAAATTCCCCGAGAAAAGATTAATTTCGTATTCTTTTGAATAACAATATTACAGCAAATATCTTATGATGAACTATCTAGACTACTTTCAATAAATCCACTTTATAAGTGTTCTTTTTTCTTCAGTTTATTTATCAATTCTGTTATTACTACGATTTTTGTATATTTTTGAAACTTGAAAATCTCTAAACTTTCATAGACTGACTTGGACTCACTCATCATTCTCATGTGTATTTATACCATAAACTGTTCATCAATGTATATGCATAGTGTTAATTCATGCCGGTAGGGTAAATGTGGTTTTTGACAGATAAGTTGATTACCGTATAAAATCCTGTAAACAAATGATTATAACCAATCAAAGCACAAATCATTTTGAAACTTTGCTCAGTACACAATATTATGTAGAAAGTAGTAATTTTGTGGTGTACAAATTCTTTATTTATAGATAACTGTCTGTGCTGCATAAACGAAAAATATCACTATGTAAACCTGTGGTAGAATAAATGACTAAATTGTATTTACCCTCTTGTTCACTTTCTCAAAAAAGACGTTTATTTCTTAAGTGAGAATTCTCTATTTGAAATGTTTATTTATGTTGTCAATATTAATTTATCTAATATACAATCATCAATCAATCAGTTCATTCAATAATGAAAGATCCAGTATTTGATTAATTTTGCATGACGTCAAAAGTCAAAAATATCAAAGTTACGTCTATAAACAAATGAGTATTTTCTGTTGAAAACATTTATATATATATATTAATTATTTGGTGATAAACAATATGCTAATTAGATATTCAAGTGTATTCAGACAAGCGTCTTCTACTCAATATCGTTTTCAACTAACTTGGCAACATTTTGTGTCTCATTGGTCAAGGGAATTGATTTTTGATTGTGTTATAAATATGAATTTTATTCGCTTTACTAGGATTTCGTAAGCCTATTATTGTTATTATTAATACTATTATTTTTATCATTATCTAGCTCTTATCAGTCGATGTTCACGGTTCAGTACATAAACATTTGTCTGACCCTTAAATTTTCATTCACAAATGAGTATTTCTCTGCCTAACTAGGCTACTTATTTACATGGAGAATACTATAAAGATTAGGCTCGAAGTGTCCCCGAATGCCTTGGTACGGCCGAGAATGGGGAGTCCGCCCTCCCTCTTGAAATGATCTCATATGGCCACGCGTATATAGCATCTGCCAGGAAAATCCTACTCACTGCCTTCTCATGGCGGGGGTGTTGTTTACGAAATTGAGAGGATGAAAAGCGGATGTCCGGCGCTTTAACCGGGTTGGTGGACACAGAGAGTTACATCTAAAGTTCAAGCATAAAAATCGAACTGTGTGAGACCCATGTACGTTAGCCAACTTTCTTCCTAAATTTTATTTTTTTAGTGCAATTATCTTCACTTGGTTCATATTATCACCTTCATCACTTTTTAGTTAGTAGATTGATTAAGTCGTCGTAATTTTACTGACTTTGTGTGTACGTATAACTGACGAAAACATATGTAAGGTATATTGGTAAAATTGTTATTTATGAATGGTTTAGAAAATGTGTGTGTGTGCATATGTGTTTGCAATGGCTTTTCTTGTGTTTCGTGTGTATGCATATATACGCAACATATCTTTTTCGTTCTTTGTTTTTTTCAAAACATGGTCAAAAGGCCACTACAACTATTACTGCAACTAATACTCTTACTACTCTGTTTATCATTACGATACCTATCTATCGCCTACGTGTTTATGTCACTCAGTAGTGTTGATCTCAATAATAATAATAATAATAATAATAATAATAATAATAATAATAATAATAATAATAATAATAATAATAATAATATAACGAGTTATGCTACTGTTATCTACTTTTTTTCTTTGTCCCACCTCTATTTTTCTTTACATTTTAAGTTGTGTATTTGCTTGTATGTGCGTTCATGTGTGTGAATTATTTATTCGTGAAAGCGATCGAACGACAGGTAAAAGGGTGAAATGAAGCCAACAGTCAATTTATTAATTTTTTCAGCATTATTTTTTTAAAAATCAATATTCATAATCAATAGTAGTTCAGGTTAATTCTCTTATCTCTGTTTGTTGTGATGTATATAATAACACTGACTGAGTATTTGTGGGTATGTGGTAGGAAATTAAAACTGTTCCTTTGTATACAAAATATCCAACTATAAAGTATTACTTATCAGTTGGTAAACAAAATAGTGAAGAATAATATTGCGAGTAAGAACAACCAATGTTCGTACAGAATATATAGAATATAGTTAGCAGTGAAATTCATGATTTCATTTTGAACACACGAGATGTACCTGCATTCCAGAGTTAATGTTCACTTGGGATATTCGGACTCAGTAATTTGGAGAGAAGGGTATTGAGTACGAGGCCGAAAGTGAATATAAATTCTGGGATACACGTAGATACAGCTGATGAGCTTCAGGTAGGGAGAAACGGGTGTCCTGGACTCCACTGTTATTTATGTTCCATCTACTGCACACAAACTTTTGTTGATGGTTATATTAAGATAATCCACACATTTCAACCAAAATTGATCAAATTTTCAAAATATCGACAACAGCACAATCCAAATCATAACATAATAACCAATGTTTATTAGTTTTTAAATATCGTAACACTTCTTTTGTTCAAAATATTTAATTGTGTATCTTGTATTTTCAAACTACAGCATTAGAAACATTGAAACCTTAGTTCTTTTTTCACTACAATACTCAGGTTAATCTTTCATTCCTTCGACTTTGAGATGACGTGTTTATTGCTAGTCAAAACTAGATAAAACAGCGATTGGAAACCAGAGATGTCAATAAACTGAAATTGGAAATACGTAAAGAAATACAAAAGAATGGATAACCCCTAATCGATATATAATGACGCTTGATTATTCATGTTGCAATTTGACAAAAACACAGATATACCTACTTGTTATAACTGAATAAAGATTGATTTAACTTGGTGCAGGAAAGATGACAGAACTGCAGATGAATATTTTTCTATGCGCCAACAATAGATCCTAAACAATATCTAAAATACATTGAATTATGTATTACTTACTTATCTGATGAATGTTCAGACATTAATATATTGAATTAGAGTGGAGGTTAATTCTTCTTTATCTGACTCTAGTTAGATCGTTTCTAATTATTATCGAAACATACATTCCGCCAACCCTCGTGTATAGTCAAAGACTTAAGTCGCGTTAGTGAATATTGGAATTAAATAATTCAAATGCAAGAATGGATTTCGAATACGTATATTTCACACAATCGTTGATTCAGACAGACAGTTAGAGGAATGAAGCGAAACGGATCAGACAGGTTATGTGAGCTAACTCGAACTAAGCAGGACTCAATATTTATAGTCAGAAGAAAATAAGTTATAGACATGCGATGAATAGGATAAGGGATATACACACATACACTCATAAAAAACAGTCAAGTTTGGCAAGTGAATGATTAACAAGGTCAAAATGGGGCTCAAGAAAGATGAATAAATTGGCCTGTCCGGAAGCTAAAATAGGCTATATGGGCGTAACATAGCACCCGACACTACACTAGACACCATTTGACATTAATTAATCAATAACTGAATGGATGTATATAATTGGCAACCCCAATAGATTAAAATGCTTTAACTAACAGATATGGTTAAATTACTGAGTTATATATTTGTTGCATCCTAACATCTCTCTCTCTTTGATTGGTTACATGTAAGTAGAGTTTCCTGAAGGAACCCTACTTGAAATTTAGTTAGTCTTTATCATAACAATTTAGAAAAGAAAAGGATAAACTGTTTTATTTTAAGGTTTGGATCAGTACTCCGGTCTCAACTTGTCTTATTTACTTATATTGTGGGAAAATCCAGTGTTTTCTTAGGATAACAGTCCTACTTATTTCATCTCAACACTTGTAGCTGATATTAATCACGGAATTATATAAGTTGGGGTACCGTATGGTTACCAATTCGTTTCAACACTAGTTGTTAACTTTACTGTTAAATGTACAAACCAATCATCATCTAGTTCAGATTGAAATATTCGGACGTCACTGCATACAGTATATACGTACAAGCTTCACAATCCATTAATAAGTGATTTAATGGCAATTGTTTTGGAGAGACTATAACTTATGGATGAACTTTGAGCGAGACTAAATTGTCTTTGAGAAGTTAATGATAGAGATCAAATTAGCGTTTTTGCCATAAGCTGATATCAATTATTAACCAAAAGGCAAATCGGTCATATGGTTGAATGAATTTCTCCCCCCCCCCCAAATCTATGATTCTGTATCTTCGGTCTGATCGGTTCGTCGATAAATTCTAGTATCTGTAGTATCTTCGGTATCACAGCATAATGATACAAAATTGATATTATTCTCACGTCTTATTTTATCTCATTTTCTTGGAAAATATATGTTGTACACATGAACCAGGGTAATTTTTATTGAAATCGTATGATTACGTATAAATTAATCAGTTTTTTATTTTAAGAAATGATAGGATTACTAGAACATTGATTGTGTTCTACATTCGGTTATAAAATTGCTTTGGTATTTTCTCGTGTAAACTTCAGAAAGATCACCCAAGATTAATTTTAGTTACTTGAGCTTACTAAGCGTTCGAATAGGTAATTTTAATCGTTGGGGCGTACAGAAAAGATTCTCTAAGGTTTCATTGTTTCCATTGTTTTTTAACATAGTTTGTTGCTTTGCTCATGTAGATCTCTTTAAAATATTTTTTATCTGTCTGTTTATTTGTAGAATACTAGACAAAAAGTTAAATCCAAGAAAGAAACACCTCCATTGGATTCAGCTGCCTTACTGTCTCTTCTTTCTGGGACAGGAAATTTAAACCCTTCTAGTTGTTCCACTAGTCCAATCACAAATCCTTTAAATCCTCTTAGCACTTTATCTTCTGAAATAGATGGTGCCAATTGCAATATTCATTTACGTCAAGTCTTGGAGTCGTTAATCAGTCTATCAGTTTCTCCTGCATTTGATCAGTCTTCTGCCCATAGTTTATTGTCTAACGATATGCTTGACAGTGGATCATTAAACCAAACCTTTCAACAGTTAACTAATTTGTCTAATCGTAAAGCAACAACCGGAATCCAGAAAGTGTCACCTTCTGGTCAAATTTTATCCAATGAAAGTAGTAACAGTACAAATCCTCCAGGCAATGTTTCATTTGATCTTCTTGCACAACTGTCTGCTGCTGCTGCGGCTGCTGCCGTAACTCCTCCGCCTTCCAATATTGTGAACCAGCTTGGAAATTTGGTAAGTGTAAATTGTAGTACTAGTCTGCTTTCCTGTTTTGTTGTGCCCTGTATGGATATTATTTTTCACTGTGTTATTATCCGTCTTATTGTGACTACTTTGAAATGAAAAATTTAAACACTAAGGGAGTTTTGTTTGCTTAATTTTCGAGCTGCTTTTTGTTACACATGTCCACTTATTGCATGGATTTTAGTTAACTCTAATTCAAATTTTGTTTCGTGTTAATATTTCCAGGCTACTGATGGATTCAATCCGATCTTCCCAACTGATGAAAATTTATCATCCGCTTTGCAGAGTCTTTTGTTTAAACAAATGTTGAATATTAATACAGGATCAAATGCTTATACATCTCACCTTGGACCGGGAAGGAATTCCATATCTAATATTTCTCAATCTGGACAATATACTGGTCTAAGGGATTGTCGGTCGATGAGCAACGATGAATCTAATTGTAGTTCAGAAAAGTTGATCCCACCAACCTATTCACTAGCTTCAAGTTTTTTATCTCTTCACTCTCCAAATAGCACTAATAACTGTAGTAATAACAATAATCCTCGTAATTCGTTTGTCCGACCATCTTCAAGGATATCACCTGAACCTATTACATTGGCTTCTAGCCCGCCCTCTTCATCATCTACACCATCTTTCATTTGTCCCAATCAGTCTAATCCTCCTACTGGAGAGTTTTATCCTCTAAATGAAACTGTGGCATCGTCACCTAATTCTCTACTTTTAAATGGCTGTACTCCTGTTGGTACATCACCTAACACTGGTTTGAATATGAATCAAACAGCTGTAAATTTATCGAGTGACAACCAATCATGGGAACCATGCAAAGTTTGTGGCGATAAAGCTTCAGGTCAGTAGATTATTTGTTTCAGTCATTGTTTATTGTTTTTCAAATCTTGGATAAAAGTCCTATTTCTGAATAAGAAAAACTGGTTGAATCACCTTTAAACTGTGACTTAAACTTATCGATTTTCCGAGAATCTCAAGGTGAACACATGCATTTGTGTTATCATGTCAGTCCACATGGTGCGAGGTTATTTATATGTTGGATGGCACTGTCACACAGAAGGTATGAGCGAGAACTTCCCATGACATTTTTCATTCAGCACACACTGGGGATTCGATATTCAGTCAGTATTAAGCCTTGGATTTGGAAACTAATAAGCGACAACTGTTTATTGTTTCATGAAACTTCACTTTAAAGTTATAAGTTGTACAATTTTCTTAAACCTATGGTTGACCATTTCAAGGTGCTTGAGTAATTCATTAAGTGTTGTTATCGTGAAGTGAATATTTAATTTGTTACGCTGTAATATTATTTGCGAAGTAGTAGAAGTACGTGGTTATACCTTAAAAAGTTAACTTTTATTATTATTATTATCGTCATAATTTTAGTTTACTACACGTATAAAAATTGACTGGATGGCGAATTCCTATCAAATGAATCTCTCTACTATCTCAATATCCTATCGGTTATGAATTGCGTCTAACCATTGAAATTTCACCTCGTAGTTCACTCATTATTATTGAATGATGAAAAGTTAAGTCACGATTGAAAACGATTTCTGTTGAGGTCAGTCTAAATGTGCTTAATGTTAAACATAAATTATAAAAGAAATCAATAAGTACGACCTTGATTACTAAGGTAAAAAATAATAAAAATAAATTAGATACATTTTTATCGAAATATTGTCAAGTTAACATTTATAAATCTTTGAAACTTATGATGTCGTCAAACAATACGGTAATGATACAACGGATCGTTCATAAAATATATATTTTCTCTCATGTATACTACGGTCATAGGTAGTATGCTTGTGGTTACTTCGACGTCTGATTTCAGTGCTTCAGCTGGTATGTTGTCGGGTCCTGCTGCTTTCCCGTTCTTGATTTGTCTGACGGCCGCTCTAATTTCTTCCGTCGTCGGTGGGTTGACATCTATAGGAAGATCTGTGTGTGCTGCTTCGATGTTCGGTGGATTCATAGGAGCCGGCCTATTCAGGAGTTCCTCAAAGTATTCTACCCATCTGTTACGCTGTTGTTGAATTTCAGTGATTGGCTTGCCTTCCTTGTCTTTGACCGGCCTCTCTGGTTTATTGTATTTCCCTGCTAGTTTCTTCGTTGTATCGTAAAGTTGTCTCATATTTCCTTCTCTAGCAGCTTTTTCTGCCGTCGTTGCTAATTCTTCCACGTATTTCTTCTTGTCAGCTCTAATGCTCCTCTTCACTTGCTTGTTTGCTTCTATGTATTCAGCTTGTGCTTGGACTTTCTCTGCTCGTGTTCGGCTGTTGTTTATTGCTGCCTTCTTGTTCTTCCTTTCTTTGATCTTGTCCAGTGTTTCTGTAGAGATCCATTCCTTATGATGGTATTTCTTTAGACCGAGAACCTCTTGACACGTTGAAGTTAATGCTTCCTTGATGCTTTTCCAGTTGTCCTCCATAGTAGTTTCTTGTTCTTTCAGTAGATCTTGTAAGGCTTGGAACCTGTTGTTGAGAGCTATCTTGAATTCATTGAGTTTGACAGTACCTCGAAGGAAGGCTGTATTGAACCTTTGTATTGCTGTTTGTCCACTTGTCCAGTTCTTTTTTAGCTTCAGTTTCAAATTGGCTACAACTAGGTGGTGATCTGAAGCTACGTCAGCTCCTCTCCTGGTTCTCACATCTTCCATTGTCCTTCGGAATTTTTTGTTGATGCAAATATGGTCTATCTGGTTCTCTGTAGTGTGGTCCGGTGAGATCCATGTAGCCTTGTGTGTGAGTTTCGCTGATCCCCAGTACTGCTAAGTTGTATGTGGGAAACCGGGAAGACCAGTCAAATAGCAATGGAAATGAGGAGATACAACTTAGCAGTACTGGGGATCAGCGAAACTCACTGGACCCAAGCTGGACAGAAAAGACTAGCTACGGGAGAGATGCTGCTATACTCCGGTCACGAAGAGGACAATGCTCCACACACTCAGGGAGTTGCTCTAATGCTGTCCAAAGTAGCACGTAATGCACTTGTAGGATGGGAATCCCACGGATCCAGAATCATCAAAGCATCATTCAAAACAAAGAAGGAGGGGATCTTAATGAATATTATCCAATGTTATGCACCCACCAATGATAGCAACGACGACATTAAAGATCAGTTCTACGAGCGGCTGCAGTCAGTCATTGAGAAATGCCCAAGAAAGGACCTCACCATTCTAATGGGAGATCTAAATGCCAAAGTCGGAATAGACAACATCGGATATGAAGATATTATGGGGCAACATGGACTGGGAGAGAGGAACGAAAATGGAGAAAGATTTGCAAATTTGTGTGCATTCAACAAATTAGTCATAGGAGGCACAATATTTCCACACAAGCGTATACACAAGGCTACATGGATCTCACCGGACCACACTACAGAGAACCAGATAGACCATATTTGCATCAACAAAAAATTCCGAAGGACAATGGAAGATGTGAGAACCAGGAGAGGAGCTGACGTAGCTTCAGATCACCACCTAGTTGTAGCCAATTTGAAACCGAAGCTAAAAAAGAACTGGACAAGTGGACAAACAGCAATACAAAGGTTCAATACAGCCTTCCTTCGAGGTACTGTCAAACTCAATGAATTCAAGATAGCTCTCAACAACAGGTTCCAAGCCTTACAAGATCTACTGAAAGAACAAGAAACTACTATGGAGGACAACTGGAAAAGCATCAAGGAAGCATTAACTTCAACGTGTCAAGAGGTTCTCGGTCTAAAGAAATACCATCATAAGGAATGGATCTCTACAGAAACACTGGACAAGATCAAAGAAAGGAAGAACAAGAAGGCAGCAATAAACAACAGCCGAACACGAGCAGAGAAAGTCCAAGCACAAGCTGAATACATAGAAGCAAACAAGCAAGTGAAGAGGAGCATTAGAGCTGACAAGAAGAAATACGTGGAAGAATTAGCAACGACGGCAGAAAAAGCTGCTAGAGAAGGAAATATGAGACAACTTTACGATACAACGAAGAAACTAGCAGGGAAATACAATAAACCAGAGAGGCCGGTCAAAGACAAGGAAGGCAAGCCAATCACTGAAATTCAACAACAGCGTAACAGATGGGTAGAATACTTTGAGGAACTCCTGAATAGGCCGGCTCCTATGAATCCACCGAACATCGAAGCAGCACACACAGATCTTCCTATAGATGTCAACCCACCAACGACGGAAGAAATTAGAGCGGCCGTCAGACAAATCAAGAACGGGAAAGCAGCAGGACCCGACAACATACCAGCTGAAGCACTGAAATCAGACGTCGAAGTAACCACAAGCATGCTTTACCCTCTATTCAAAAAGATTTGGGAGGAGGAACAAGTGCCAATGGACTGGAAAGAAGGGCACCTCGTCAAGATTCCAAAGAAAGGAGATCTGAGCAAATGTGAAAACTACAGAGGCATAACACTACTGTCAATACCAGGGAAGGTCTTCAACAGATTTTTGCTGAACCGGATGAAGGATGCAGTAGACGCTCAACTTCGAGATCAACAAGCTGGATTCCGTAAGGATCGGTCGTGCACAGACCAAATTGCAACACTACGGATCATCGTCGAACAATCGGTTGAGTGGAACTCGTCACTATACATCAACTTCATTGATTATGAAAAGGCATTTGACAGTGTAGATAGGAGGACATTATGGAAACTTCTTCGACACTACGGAGTTCCTGAGAAGATTGTGAATATTATCCGGAACTCATACGACGGACTACAGTGCAAGGTCGTGCATGGAGGACAGCTGACAGATGCATTCCAAGTAAGGACCGGGGTCAGACAAGGCTGTTTACTCTCTCCCTTTCTCTTTCTTCTGGTGGTCGACTGGATTATGAAGACCTCGACATCTGAAGGAAAACACGGAATACAATGGACAGCTCAGAACCAATTAGACGATCTGGACTTCGCAGATGACCTAGCTCTTATATCACGTACACACGAACAGATGCAGATGAAGACAGCCAGTGTAGCAGCAGTCTCTGCATCAGTAGGCCTCAGTATACACAAAGGGAAAACGAAGGTCCTCAAATTCAAAGCGGAAAACAGCAATCCAATCACTCTTGATGGCGAAACTCTGGAAGATGTAGAATCCTTCACATACCTGGGAAGCATCGTCGATGGACAAGGAGGTTCAGATGCAGACGTAAAGGCGAGGATTGGCAAAGCAAGGGCCGCATTCCTACAATTGAAGAACATATGGAACTCAAAACAACTTTCAACCAATATCAAAGTGAGAATCTTTAATACGAACGTCAAGGCAGTTCTACTGTATGGAGCTGAAACTTGGAGAACTACAACAACCACAATCAAGAAAGTACAAGTATTTATAAATAGCTGTCTACGCAAGATACTCAACATCCATTGGCCAGATACCATCAGCAATAGCCTTCTGTGGGATAGAACAAACCAACTTCCAGCTGAAGAGGAAATTAGGAGAAGACGATGGAAATGGATAGGACATACATTACGCAAATCGTCAAACTGTATCACGAGACAAGCCCTAACTTGGAATCCTGAAGGGAAGCGGAAAAGAGGAAGGCCAAAGAACACATTACGTCGGATAATAGAAGCAGATATGAAAAGGATGAATTACAACTGGAAGGAGCTGGAAAGGATTGCCCAGGACAGGGTTGGATGGAGAATGCTGGTGAGCGGCCTATGCTCCTTCACGAGGAGTAACAGGCGTAAGTAAGTAAGTAAGTTGTGCGTACGTATACATCATTTACTACTTAAATGAGTAGTAATTGTAGTTATTTTTCTTAATCGCTTTGACAGACCAAGTTGTTGTTATCATTTTATTGCTCTGTTATTCAAATGGATGTATTGATTGACTTTGTATTGATTATTACTTTGTGTGTGTATCTTTCTCTTTTTCTCACTCTTATTTTTGTCTTTGTCTGCTCAAATCTTCTTTTGTTTTCTTCCTGGCCTAGACAGATTATTAGTTAGTTAGTGATTATGGTTTGTTTGTTAAAGAAAAAAGGCGAGGATAGTTTTTTCAGATACTTTTTGATGATTTAAATTTACACATGTGTATGATTTGTAAGTACAAGACAGTAATAACGCAGTGTGGATGATATTATTTGGATAAGAGTACGTCTAAAATATTCTTGTTTCTTTTTACTATTTGTTTACTTTAAGTTGTTTTCTTCTCTGTCATTATTTCCTTTGTCCGTAAAGTTTAATAAAACTTAAGTATTCATTTTACTTTATAACTGTGAAGCAACATGACTATTGAAGTTGGATATTGTTGAGTGGAAATAGTCAAGTGTACAATTTATGGGTTAACATGGTAGGTCAGCTGTTAAGATTGTGGATATGCGTAGATCAATAAAATGTTATCATATTTCATGTTAGGTGGTTCGAGGTAGTTGGTAGGAAAGACCGTGGATGTAGGTTTTATGCCAGTCGGCACTCGTCAGCAAAGTGTACCTGTAATCGTAAAGGATCATGATTTATGCATGATACCTTAGAATCTCAACACTACTTGATTGTGGCTTAGTAAGTGAACTTCTTTGTTGTTGTATTTTTACTAATGTTTCAAGTGGTGATATAACGCGTGACTAGAGTGTCCTTCGTTTGTTTGGTTTTCAGCTGACTGATGGATGTTATTTTATTTATTTCGTTTTCTCTATAGGACGACATTACGGCGTTGTATCATGTGAAGGATGTAAAGGATTTTTCAAACGTTCTATTCGAGGACACGTTAGCTACGTATGTCGCAGTGAACAAAATTGTCTTGTAAATAAAGCCTATCGTAATCGTTGCCAATATTGTCGGCTACAAAAATGTTTAGCTGTTGGCATGCGTTCAGAAGCTGTGCAAAATGAACGTAGACCTACCAATACATTTGCTTTGAATTTTTTAAACGATAATTCAGGTAATTCAAATTGTACAACTACTGGTGGCAGTAGTAATATGAATAATGGCGGTTCACCTAATCCTAGTATATCTACTGCATCTATTACTTCTACGACGACGACAACAACAACAGTAACAACAACAACCACTACTTCTGCTAATAATGGTAATAATAATAGTCATACTTCAACATTTGGACCATCAGTTCCAAACGTTCGTAATAGTTCACCACAGTCTCAACAAATACCATGTAAAATTGAACCGAACTCAGAAGAATTGGAAGATGAAGACCGTAATAATCATTCGGAATTTACAACACAGAAATCTGACGAGGGCCGATTGTCATCTCATAGTTCTCCATCCGGTTCTTCCCGGTCAGTGCCATTAACGTCGTCAGGGGCGACAACAGTGGGACTGTTATCATCATCGGGGTTAACATCAGGAGTCATTGGATCAAAGCATTTAGATGATAATCACTTCACAGGAATCAGTAAAAACTCTGCTTTAAGTGATATTTCGTCTTCATCATCGTCATCTTCCTATTCAGCTACAGTAGCCGATGTTGAAACCAATGATCCCAATAATGCATCCTACTTACAACACGATATTAAGCCTCCTGTAATACAAACTTCATTAGGATTAAAATTTACACCAGGTTTGTGTAGCTCACCCCAAGCTACATCACATTCCCTTCAGCAACCTCCTGCTGTTTGTTTATCCACTTCAGCGTCATCTTTCGCTCGTCAACGTTCATTAACTTCAGTGAGTAGTAGTAGTAGTGTTAATAACAATAGTACAGCTTATGCTAGTGCATTACCCTCATACAGTAATGTGGTAGAGGGTTGTCATACAACTAGTCATCTGGATCCAGACTGTGGAATCGCCAATTTCAGCCGTTGTATGAATCGAAACACTCTTCTTAGTTCACAGCTTTTCGATATACCTGACAATAAGAGAGGTGCAACACAAGAATCTTATTCTCGGAGAACGGTACGATTATTATTACTATATTGATTTCTGTTTTGTTTATTATTAATTCAATAAAATCTAGTTTGTTTTCTATTGATACATTTCACTGTGATGTAAGCATTTCGACCATGTTTTTTTCGACTTTTGCAACACAAATAACTTGTATCATAATCAAGAATCTTTTTGCGTAAGAAATTTCATAGTTGTATAGCGAGCCTATTTTTAAAATGTGCTCCGTTTTTGTTTTACAATGGAGAGGGGACTCAACTGTTATATGGGGTCTAAATTTTAGCCACTAATTCACAGGCTCAAAATTCGCTTCGCCTAATTTGGCTTAAAGTACTGGGTGATATCATTAGTCTTCACATTTAGAATGAAACTCGAAGCCAAATACACTAATCTACGTTTGGTAAAGAAGGGTTTTATGGCACAGGATACCTCATTTAAGAGGACCAAATAAATGAGCATGTATGTATTTCTGCTCATTTATCCAGTGTTAAATCTGAATAGAAACGATAGTACAATCAGATATCTTAGCAGTCAACTGTAATTAGAAATCTATGAATATGAATTTACAATGAGCTAGGAAGCAAAACTAAGAAAGAAATAGATTAAGTTCTTATTGTGTTACGTATATGTCTAGATGTAATTAGTTCAGCAATTTTTCTCATATAATTAATTGCTTGTTGGTTTAATGCTTACACTAGATCTAAAGATTCATTGTAATTCATACATTTCAATTTTAGACTTCTTTCTCAAACACACCAAGTTCGTCTTCAACATCTGTGTCAAATCATCAGGATCCTTTGCCACTTTTTGATGATACGGGTGGATTAAATTTGAATGAATTAACTAAGTTAGCTTTGAATAATATAAATTCCTTGCAATCATCGTCATCATCAAATCAACAAGGACGTAGTTTAGCCGCGTTATACACTTACTGGTTAGCTGCCTCAGCAGCAGCTGGATCTTTAAATCCTTTACATCATCGGCACAATGAAAATCATAATCATCACCACCAACAACAGAATCACTCGGTGCATTTGTCCACTTCAAATCAAAATTTCAATCCACTTGATATGAAAACTTCACTATCATCATTGAAAACAGCACAATCTTCAACTGTGACCACTACATCAGCAATAATTGGCTCAAATCAAAATTCTACATCACAATTTAGTATGAAAACGAATCCAAATAGTTTATTTGGACAACATTGTAATTTAGAAAATCAGCTACTTATTAATGGTTTAAATCATTCGTCTAAATCATCATTATTATCTAGTGCAAGCAATCATTCAGATGCTTTAAATGTGTTGATGTCGATTATGTTAAATTCATCGGATCATGTTGGACTGAATAATTTCAATGCTTTGACGGATGCAGTTAATTCAACCACAGCACATTTACAAAAAGCACCAATCAATCATCATTCTCACCAGCAACATCCCTTTATGCTTCAACATCATTCTCATCAGCATCAATTACAGATGGGTTCTTCAAATTCTCACCACTCATCCACTTCACCGAATACACTTGAAATACCTATTCCTTCCAGTTCATCTTCATGCTTATCAGCTTCGCTATTTGGTCTCAATAACACCATATCAACTATGAATAATAATAATAATACCAATACTATTGGTAATGATAATAATGTTACGATGCATTCTGCTGCTAACAATAATTCGCCATTCATACCAGCACCTCCACCAATCAAGTCAACAAATTTAATACAACTATTGTGCAAACGTACTTCAAATAGTCAGACAAGTACTTTAGCGGATACTGACGATAAATCTAAGAGTGGTTCTTGCAGTAGTATGGTTGCTACTACTACTAATGTTAGAGGAAGACGAAGTAGTAATAGTAGCACTGCTAACAATATGGAAGAGAATACACACGAGTCTGGTGAACTAATCAATAGTTATCGAGGTAGGCTATATGTAAAGTTTACCAGTTTCCTTCTGCTGATTGTTATTAAATAATCTTAGTCGAATGTTAAGTTATATTGACTTTCTACTGAATGAAATAGGTTTTATATATTAAATACTGTGCATTCCTTTGAGATTGACCAAAACCATATACTTGACACTGGCTGGTAGTATATATATATATAGACAATCATCAGTTTTTGAAAACTATTAAAAACTAAGTTATTACTGCACTAAAAACTATAAAGTTGGGGGTTTTATAGCAGGTAGTATAATAGAGATCATTAAATACAAAATCACACATGTTTAATCGACTGATTCAACCCAAATATATACATTATGATCATGGTTTACATTTCAATGAAAATATGGATTGGGTATCTGTACTTATGATTTGTCTTAGTGCATAAGTATTTATGTTCTATCAGTTATACTTAACCTATAATTACAAAATTTTCTACTAATATTTCTCACTGAAACCATATTAGTTTATTTATTTCTATTACACTACACAATGAATTACTGAGAATTTATTTTTGCTAAGATATGACCAAGGAACACATTGCGCTGGGATTTGGAAGCAAACATCAAAAGGATGAATAGTAACTGGAAAGGATTGCCCAGGACGGAGTTGGATGGAGAATGCTGATGGCTGGCCTGTGCTCCTCCATGAGGGGTAACAGGCGTAAGCTAATTAATAATATTCATCCATTACATCGGGAGAATTAAATAAACTGTTTTTTTGTTAGTTTAATCGTTTCATATTCAACAGATTAGTGTATTATAATTTTTAAGACTTATTCAATAGATGTCACATAGTTTGTAAGTTAGAATAATTATTCTGTCTATACATTGTGTCGTATAGGGATAATGTTAATTAAATAACATTGAAACAAAGTGGGATCAGTTATGATTACATAATCCTAGTTTTCTTTTTTTACATTGAAATGTCAGTGTATGCAACAAGATTTCTTAATGTGAATATAATACTTAAATTGTTTGGTTGGTGATATTATATGGTATTGATCTTAGCGAAGGTGGTATGAATTATTTGTTCAATTCAAGATATAATCATGTTGCTTTTAAGCGTTTTTCTTTGAACACCATTATTAGTTAAGATATGAAATCATTAATATATGTGAAATATTTTTTTAAATATTAGCTCACTTTTTAAGTAGTTCATGAGGAAACTAATGAAACTGAACTATTTCATCTTTTTGGTAAATTGAAATCGAACTGTACTTATATATATTCTGTATCGAGTACTATTGTTAACAATGATTACAATAATGAAGTACAAATCGGTTAATACTTATCAACTATATTGTTAATTTGTGTGGTATTAATAAATGTGTGGAATTTCTGTGCGTAGTTTATAGTCAATGCTACTATTCGTAATGTTGTTGTTTTTTCTTCTTTAAATTGAACCTCATACACTAGCTATGTATTTTGTTATTTTACTCACTTGTAGATTGTTGGTAGATTAATTTGAAATTACTTTTATAAATTTATATTGTTATCAATATCCGAAATGGATTTAGAAAGATATTCAATCGATAATTGTGCCGATAATGTTGATGATAGTTATAACATTTTATACTTTAAGTTCATACACTTTGATTATTAGTGTAGACTGATTTCATTTGACCTTATTCTGGCATATATATATATATATATATATATATATATATATATATATAATTTTGTCGGTTCACTAAAATATACATATATTTGCATACATATCTGTTTAGCAGTAGATATATTCTTTAATAAATTATATATACCATTTGGATAGTTATTATCTGACCTACTTTAATTCATGCTGACACGGCTTAACGATCTATTGTACTTTAGCATAATTGTAGATTATATATTATCTATGCTTAATTATATATGTGTATTTATATATGCATTTTCATGTTTGAACATTGAAGATCCTTATATAATTTTATGTGTATCACGTGTATACTTTTTGTTGTAGTTAATCTTGACCTTGTTTGTTTGACCTCAATGTGTCCTCGAGTAATCACTTAATTCCTAACCTCTATTTTTTTTGTCAATCTAATTCATATGTTTACATTTACATCTATCATATGTATTTGTTTATAGATGAGTGTGTGAATGTGTGTAATATGAAGTTGTTTATTGATATCACATAATTAGATAGATATACGTTTTCTGAACCATAGGGTTTAATTGATTTATATATATTTGTAAACCTACCTATACTTTTAAAGTATTTAAAAGGAATATGATAATAATTTCACTATATTAATGACCTTTATTATTATTATTATTATTATTATTATTATTATTATTATATCTTGTTGATTATTATTGAGTGATGAAAATTTCGTGTTTTATTATTTACTTAAACTATTAGTTACGATTAATGTTGAAGATTCATATGTTGGGACAATTTCAGATTAGATTGATTATCATCTGTTCGTATTCATCTCACTTCATACGAATAGTAATAATATCAAGAACTAATGAGTTTATTATTCGACATACATATATCACTGCCTGCGTGTTGATGTATACCTGTCACTACATCATTCTGTAAAACTTCATCCTTTTTTACTGCAAATTATTACTGAGAACATACTAGATTTTTGTTTTTCATTGTCAGACCAAAAATAAATCGAATGCAGCACATATAGATTGGCTCACATTGTTATTATTTTATTAAGTGGATCATTGAATCATATGATTTAATATGATTACAATAGTTTTAATCTAGATTTCTGACATCAAAACTTAGGGAAACTTTGAAAATCTTTTTTTTGTATGTATATTCACCTGACAAATATATATATATATATATATATATATATATATATATATATATATATATATATATATATATAATTAGCATTAAAAGTGCAAAAATAGCCCCAGGATATCTGTCTGATTGATCAATTCTAGTCTAAATCTCCACTGAATAATCGAGAGTATCTGTTTAAAATTGACTATCATAGTGTATTTTGAGGTAGGAATATGTATCCATCAGTCGAAGCAGCCACACTTTATATCAGCACATCAATCGAATAAAATCTAAGATTGGAAATAGAGAAAGGAAAAAAAAATGTAAATTACAATGGAAATATAAACATGAGAAATATGAATTTTACTAGGTGCAGCATATGAGATAGATGAAAGGTAAGATATAAAATGACAAATGAAACTACACCATTGTAACAGATTCTGAGTTATATCACTCAACGTCTCCAATCATGACCCACAATTTTCTCGCAAATTCAAATCAGGAAGTCTAAATGGGAATAAATTTTCAATCTCGTGCTACGTCTTGTTTTATTCACCCCTTTTAGTATATTTATTAATGAGAATAATTTTTGACAAATGACTATGTGTTTCATCCTATTTCAAATCAGGAGATAAATACTTTGATAATAATCAATATGTGCTAAACAAATATCATATTTATAAAGCTGCATAGTAAATGGTCTTGAGAATAACACGATATTGCTTAAAGTAATTACTGCTTTAATTCATTCACTTTTAATATGCTCTGAGGTCTAGGTATATTCATTTTACACTCCACGAACTGACCGGACCTAAAATCTCAAATTTCAGTGATAATCATGGCAAGAATGACCTAAATAATCTAAATTTTAATTATCTTTATCATTCTGTTGATTTCTGTACATTTCGAATTATTGATAAGGTGAAAAAGACATAGAAGAATGAAACTAGTTTCTAGGTTCATTGCACATCTGTTTTTTAGTTTTAGAGTTCATGATGTAACAATAAGATTATAGAAGTAAAACTATATTGCAGTTTTTAGTTTTGTGTGTGGAAAACCAACTTATTGTTTAGCGCACAATCACACAGTAGTTTAGTAAAATGTGGAAATCGTGGATGAAATACATCATTTGCACGTCTTTGAATTGTCTCTTACAAGCATCATTGTTCTTTCATTCCTGTTTTTACCTTGATTGCCTTCAGTTTCGTTTTCTCTTCCAAACTTTCTACTCGCAGATATTCCACTTCCGACTGGTGATACATACTTATATATGTAAACATAAGTAGCATGCATACACCATGTATATGATTAGAAACTTGTCATTGAGATACTATGATTAGTATAAATGTTGAGTCAAAGTTATTTCAAATAACTCAGATAATTGTAGTTAATTTTATCTCCTTTACTTCTTATCATGTAATGTATAGGATTTATAATAACGTGCACCTATGAGCACTTATGCCACGTTCTAGTTTAATGATCAGTAATTAAATCCAATGTTAAGTAAGATTATTATGTAGTGAAATGGAGAGATTAATTGTAACTTCATATTTTTTCCTTCATTGTTAATTCTTTTCTTATATGGTGAATATAACTTTTTTCTAAGATAACAGAATGATAATACCAACCTAACTGTACGATTAACTATAACACTTCCTCTTATTATTCATGTTAAAAACTGCATAAAATATTGGTTTTAACTAATATTCTTGTCATGATGTGAGGCTTTTTGAAATGTCAAATACAGACATAAACTTTGTGAAATGAGATTTGTCCGTTAGGTTGCCGGAGCTAGTCAACAAGCAACCTTGAACCTAGGTGCCCGTTAGTACTCGTCAGCAAGATCTACATGTAATTCTGATGGAGCCGATGCTTCCTCGTTACTTAACTCTACAGTCTGAGACAATAAAACAGCTATTGATCGCCTGTTAGCTAGTCTAGATAAAGTCGTTAGGATTTAACGTAGCTTCCAAAGCATTCATTATTCAAAATGATCATGATTTAATAATCACTGTGAAATTCATTTTCGTGATAATCTGTCTATCAAGTTTTATAGGTAACCTGTGAAATCTGATATTTCAAGTTACAAATGACTTGTTTCTTCTAACTTGGATATAATATTTCATGTGAACTTGAGATGATTTATTCAGTTTTATGAACATTGATAATGTTAATGTTTTCCCATTAAGAAATAATCAAGATACTTTGTTTTTATTTACTCTGCTGATGTTACGTCTTTTGACCTGGATAGTTCAGTTGTAAGGCTTTCGTTTTCGTTTCGAACGTCATTAGGACCTTCTGCTTTAAGTAGACATTAATATCTAGATTGACAATAAGGCTGGTTCTCAATTATCCAGGTCGTCAAATGTTACATTACTTAGAACACACATATATACAAACTTTATCCATCATTATGATTCTTAATGTAAATGTATGTTATTATTCAATATTCATGATAATATTGAGATTTATTTCATTAACACTGAATATATTATTATATAAATATCATATACGTAGACCGTCACTTGGCTTTTTTAAACCTTATTTTGAATATATTTTTGTTTAATTTAGATGTAAACGGTCATTTACTACCGAAAAAGTTTGAGCTTACTTCATCATCAGATGTAACAGCATTACGATCAGAAAATGAATTATTAAATCCATCTCCGAAGAAAGAGGAAACCAATTGGTCAAGAAGTCGTAAACGTAAAATGCATTACTCGTTTCCTTCCGATGTTAATAATAATAATAATGCCAGATCAATCCGTCGACGAACACAAAGTAGTAATTCATTGCAACCTGACACAAATAATCCTATTGGATTAACTGATACACGAGAAACATGTGAAGATGATGATGAAAGTCGACTAATGGAATGTGTTTCTGAATGTACTAAATCTTCAGATGATTCTAGACCTAATAGTCCTTTGGTTGGGCCAGTTTTATTGAATTCAATGTTTGATTTAAATGCACATGTTTTCAAAACGTATCAAGATAATAATAATAATAATCGATCTCTTAGTATATCAAGTGAACTAGCTTCACGAGTTCTATTTCTTACTGTGGATTGGTTACGTCGTTTCGATGGCTTGAAGCGTCTACCGTAAGCGAAATTATATATATATATATTTCAGTACTTATTTTCATTAATGTTTGTTTTATACATACTAAATCTACGGAAGATTGTACAATACATAGTTACTAATTTCTACAATCTAAATATTTAGAATCATATCCAGATAGTATAATCCTACCCGTAACAGCACAAGAGACCGAGGTGGTCACATTCAAATCCTTCCTACACCTCCTAATACCTCTCTTATCCTCCCGACTAACCCTCCTCACGTCTCTTTATCATCTCGCACCGCTAGGGCAAACGATTCGAGTACGTGGAACGCTATTCCTGGTCTCCTGAAACCACGCTCTAAACTACATATAGGAGCTTTTAACGTACGAACACTTTGCCAAATAGGACAGCAGGCTTCCCTAGCTAAAACTTTAGAATCTCGCGCCATCGATGTGTGCTGCGTCTCCGAAACGCGCATACAGGATCCAAGTAGCGTCATTCATTTGACCTCACCATGCCAAAATAAAGAACCGACTCGATTTACGCTTCGTGTATCTGGAAGCCCTGATTCTGCTTCCCGTGGCCTCGCCGGCGTAGGTATAGCATTGAGTCCTAGGGCAGAACTAGCTCTCTTAGAGTGGATCCCAGTAAACAGTCGTTTGTGCGCTGTCCGACTGAACGGAACAGTAAGAATCCGGAAAGATAGGGACACTCGTCGTTGCCTCTTCGTCGTCTCTGCCTATTCTCCCACTGACTGCAGCTCAGATGATGTAAAAGATGAGTTTTACAGAAAGCTTTCGGACCTTCTCCGAAAAGCTAAGCGCTCGGATGTAGTAATAGTGGCCGGTGACTTTAATGCTCAAGTAGGTAAACTAAGCGATAAGGAAAGACACCTAGGTGGATCCTATGGTGTCGTGGCTCAAAGAACAGATAATGGCGACCGTCTGTTGCAGCTATGCTCAGATAACCGCCTGTTCCTTGCAAATACTAACTTTAAGCATAAGGAAAAACATCTTTTAACATGGCGACCCCCTAATTCGTCCCAACGTTGGACCCAAATAGATCACATCGCTATCAGCCACCGATGGAGGGGCTCGATAGAAGACTGTCGCTCATTCTGGAGCACATGCCTAGATTCAGATCATGCTCTAGTGCGAGCGCGTATTTGCTTGCGTCTTACTGGACGTAGGAAAGATCCTGCAAGGAAACCTCTTAGGGCCTACTTAATGATAGTCAAGCTAAGAATATATTTCAGGAACAACTAGGAAAACAGTTAGGCAGCCATGTATGTGATGCCCACCCCGAGGCAGCATGGAACGATATCCGAAAAGCTGTGGAAACAGCAGTGATATCTGCTAGTAAGGTAAACCGTAAAGTTAGGGAGCAACACTGGATCTCAGCAGCATCTATCGCACTGATAGATGCTCGAAAACTCATTCCACCTGGCTCTGAACATAATGAAGAGCGGAGTCAGCTTAAGCGCAAGCTGACAAGAAGTCTACGCAATGATCGCGAACAGTGGTGGGTAGCGAAAGCAAGAGAGATGGAAAAGGCAGCGGCAATAGGTAATAGCAGACAATTGTTTAGACTCGTTAAGGAAACCGGAATTAGGAACCCGACCGTTAGCGAAACAATCTCAGAGAAAGATGGACATATTATTCATTCTCAATCCAGGAGATTGGATCGATGGGCAGAACACTTTAGGGATCAGTTCAACTGGCCTTCAGCCACACTTCGGTTTCCCACGATCTCCAGTCAACCTGAATGGCAAGTTAATGTAAGTCCTCCGTCTCTTTACGAAGTTGAAAAAGCCATAGGAAATCTGAAACGAGGGAGAGCAGCAGGCCCTGACAGGTTTACTCCTGAGATTTTTAAGGATGGTGGTCCAGTATTAGCAATGAGATTAACTGAGGTCTTAGGTAGAATTTGGGAACTGGACGTAATCCCATCTGACTGGTCTCAATCACTGATTGTGCCAGTTTTTAAGAAAGGACAAGAGTCCTCTTGTGACAATCACAGAGGAATCAGTTTGACTAATATAGTGTCTAAAATATTAGCCTCAATAATACTTCGACGCCTAACTAAAGTTCGTGAAGAGCAGACTAGAGAAAACCAGGCTGGTTTTCGACCTGGACGTGGTTGTATCGATCAGATATTCACACTACGTCAGGTTCTAGAACAGAGACACACATTCAGACGCCCCACAATGGTAGTATTTCTCGACCTTAAGGCGGCATTCGACTCCGTTGATCGTGAGGTTCTATGGCAGTGTTTGTCACTGAAAGGAGTACCAAAGAAGTACATTAACCTTATAAAGGCTCTCTACTCGAACACAACTGGTAGAGTGAGAGCTTATGGCGAACTGTCATCAGAATTGATCACCTCAAGTGGTGTTCGTCAGGGCTGTCCACTCTCCCCATTCTTGTTCAACTTCGTCATTGACGTACTTTTAGAGATAACACTCTCCTCATCTAAATTTCCAGGGGTTGAACTTCTACCAGGAGGTTCACTTGTTGACTTAGAATATGCAGATGACATAGTTTTATTTGGTGAAGACGCTGACAAAATGCAGAGTCTTCTGACCACTCTAAGCAACAATGCAAGCATGTTCGGGATGCGATTCTCTCCCTCGAAATGCAAAATGTTGCTTCAGGATTGGGTTACATCGACACCCGAACTAGTGATAGGGAGTGAAGTAGTTGAGTGTGTCGACCGCTTCACTTATCTTGGAAGTCTCATCAGCCCTTGTGGTTTGGTGTGTGACGAAATCTCAGCACGGATACAGAAGGCTCGACTAGCTTTTGCCAACTTGCGTCATTTATGGCGTAGGCGAGATATCCGTCTATCAACCAAAGGACGTGTTTACTGCGTAGCAGTTCGTTCCGTCCTACTTTATGGCAGTGAAACATGGCCGGTAAGAGTAGAGGATATCCGTAGGTTACTAGTATTTGATCATAGGTGTCTTCGAAACATTGCTCGTATATCATGGGACCATCGAGTAAGTAACACAGTTGTTAGGAAACGGGTACTAGGTAAGGATGGCAAATCAATTGATGAAGTAGTGAAACTTCATCAGTTGAGATGGCTGGGACACGTGTTACGTATGCCCTACGACCGACTGCCTCGACGTGCTATGTTCAGTGGTATAGGAGTAGGTTGGAAGAAAGCTAGGGGCGGCCAAACCAAAACATGGCACAAGTCCATGAAGTCACTGACAAGTGAACTGAGTCATGTTGGTAGGTGTAGACTACCTGGTTGGGGACCGCGAGATGACAGCAACCGATGGTTAGAGACCCTGAATGACATGGCTCAAAATCGTTTGCAATGGCGCAGGTGCATCCACTCTCTGTGTTCTCCCAAACTCTAATCTTCTGAATTCTTCATGTCCCTTTTTTCCTCTTTCCAAATTTCTTTCACTGTATTATACTCTTTAAATAACATCTCCAAACCCTAATCTTCCCGATTACTGCTTATACTCTTATTACCTCTATCACTACGGGATTTGAATCGACAAGTCCATCTCTGTGCTAATGTGGTGTGGCAACTCGAACTGATGTACGTACGTACGAAGTTCTACGTTGTTACTGACTGACTGACTGACTGAATCCTACTTTACAATCTTTATTAAAGTAATCGTGAATCTATTTATATTGGTATTTGGAGATTGAAATGTGAAAATGTATTTCTAATACTGTAAGAAGTATTTATCATTCATAAGGATTTGTTTTAAAAGAAAAAGGAAACTAATCGAAAATATTCTTCATTTCGTAAGGTAAAACTATTATTCAAACTAAACAACTTTTTCTGTTGTTGAAAAAACAAAACAAACAAATATAATCATTAATCTACTTTGTATTTAGACAGTTCGGAATTAACATGGTATAGAATTCTATCTACAGTGAATTTAATTAAAATAACCTTTTATTATGTGTATTTAAGATTAAGTTTTAGAAATTCGAGTGATTTTTTTTCTATTTTCCTTCTGACAAGTATTAATTTTTCTCGGTCTATTATTATTATTATGAGGTGTAGCATCTGTTGGAGAATCGTGAACATCAAAAAGTTAATGAACAACAGTTTCATTCTATTCTCGGATTCATCCACATACAACATACATACATACATACATACATACATACACACATTTCTTAAATGTTAAACTTACATTATAAAAAAGGTTTCTATGATTTCATCTTTAGATGATACAATAATATAAAGTGAATATCAGATATGTTAAACATGTTTAAGTATTAACTTAAAAACTGTGTCTTTATGCTAGTCTCACGTCATCTTAAAAAGGGTACAAATCAATTGAGATTAGATTTATCACTAATCTATTATTTAATAATAATAATAATAATGAATTCAACATTATGTGACCTAGAATACACTGTGTAGGTTTTTAAAAAAAATCTTTGTATTAATTTTTTTAACACTAGTTTATATTCATCAAACTGAAAACAGAAGAAAAGTGAATCATGCATTTTTTTTTCTTCGTCATTGAATCATGCCTACATTTATACATTTTTTTTCTTCTTCTGACGTTTATTAAATCTTCAAACTGGGTTAAATTGCTTTATATAGTGATAAGATGAAAAATAAAATCTCCTTGTTTTTAATTGTTTTATCAAGTTTCTGCTTGTGTTTGTGTATGTAGATAGATACGAGTATAATGGATAGATCATAAGTAAAAATATTGGTAACTAATCCGTTAAGAGTACAATATATATATATATATATATATATATATATATATATATATATATATATATAGTTTTAATCACTATAAACCGAGTGTTATCAATTATGTGCACTTCGAATAATTCACCTATTTAGAACCAATCGTGTATGTGTTTGTGTGTGTTATACTCGAGTAGTGTCCAGGTCATTTTTAACTCTAGAAGTGTGGATATATTAGAATGAATCTAGTTGATCTTATATTCTTTTCTGAACTTATTTAAAATCTAAAATTTATTCAGATCAATGTAGAAATTATAATTTTTCTAAATCTACTATTAAATTTGTTCATAATCAATTTCATTTATTATTTTTTTCCTACGTTTTGTTCTCACTGATAGTGAAATTAGTGTTATGTCATAGATTTACCGGTACAATAAATTATTTCACAGATTGAAATCATGATTCAATTGAAGCTAGACCACCATGGAAAACCTGGAAGCACTGGACGGCCATTTCGTCCTAGTGTGAGACTCCTCAGCAGTGCGCATCCACGATCTCGCACCCCGCGAGATTCGGACCCAGGACACATCAGTCTCGCACCAAGCGCTTAAACAACTAGACCACTGAGTCGGAAGCACTGCTGAGGAGTCCCATACTAGGACGAAACGGCCGTCCAGTGCTTCCAGGTTTTCCATGGTGGTCTAGCTTCAATTGACTCATGATTTCAATCTGTGAAGTTTTTTAAAATCTCCACAAACCCCTTCTGATAATAAATTATTTATCTCTTCCTGTGTATTTTAAACGATATAAGGGATTGATTGTATGGGGTATGAATATATTTTAATAGTTTAGCATATAAACACTTGAGTAACAAAATTGAACAAAGTTTTTGTTGTATAGAGATTTCAATATATTTATTAACCATAATGAAATTAAGGTGTACTGAATTGTTATTTGACAGTTAAGAAATAAATGTGGAATTGTCACAGTTGTTAAGGAGAAAAATTTATTGATTTTATACTCTCTAGGTACTGGTGAAATGAATAAATATTCATTCTTAGTTTCAAATGAACACAAAATCTGTCTTCAACTCTAGTTACTTACCGGATATTAGGGGATAATAAAAAAAGTTAACAATTGCCCACATTGTATTATCTAAAACACCAATTGATTTGATATTTTAGTATATAAAGTAAATTTCGATTTTTGACTGATTAGTGTTTCAATCGGTTTCATAAAACTCGGGAACACTGTTCCTTGTCGTAAGTAGTTTTTGTTTATATTGATCATTAATATGATGGTGGTCAGCTCTTATGCTTTACCTTATTGACACTTTCAGACCATTTAAATTTTCTTAGCTAACTTTTATTTAAGTGTTATCTTCAACTTGAACTGTGACTTTTGAAAACATTGATGTCACTTCTAATCACACGACACACAATGTAATAATGATTTTATTAATGTTTTTTAATAAATAATTGAATTTTACTTTCCTTTTAGAATTGGAGTTCAACGTGATTTAGTGGCTATTTCCTGGTCTGACCTTTTTGTGCTTGGATTATGTCAAGCAGCTGACCAAATTAATCGTTCTCAGAATCATAGGCCAAATCAAGAATCAAACGACTCGCAACCAACAAATAGCTTATGTGCACAAAACGACATTAATTCTACAAGAGGTAAGCCAATAATGTTTGCAATTTTCGCGAAGCTACTATAACGATTAGTAGTAGTCAGTTTTAGTTAAAAAACATTTATTTGATATTTGTGTCTCAGCTTTATCATTATTACGGCAACGGTTTATTTTTATATTGATATAACCACATTGATACGTATTATTACTTTTTTTTATTCCAAAGTAGTAAATATTGAATGCTAAAACTGGAGTTGGCTTCTAGGCTTTTGTTTTGTATGATTGCTTAAAGTAATAATTAGCGGACTACAAAGTTATCTAAACCAGAATCAGGTTGAGAAAAAAACTTACCCTTTGAAGCCCATCACAAGTTAGCAGGCGACCTTTCCAATTGGGTTGGAGAACCGCTGGTCAGCGAACCGGGTGGATTGTATAAAAGGAATAGGGGGACGGAGATTTCTTCATTGTTTTGCAATGATGCGGTCGTCGTTCTCATTTTTAGTAAGGCTCTACCTAGTTTATGCAACAGTGATTTCGTTGCTTCTAAATTTTTGACTTACGCTATTGTCTGCAGATTTTCTAGAAAAAACTTAAAACGTTTGCTTGAGAGGAACAGATTGGTTTTAGTTTCGGTCGAGGATACAGTGATCACGTTTTCGCCTTCGTCAATTGTTACAACATCGCCACACTAATGACAAATCAGCATTCGTTGTGTTTCTTGATATCACAGTCGTTTTAATTCGTTGAACAGGATTACCTGTTGAAGTAGAGTTTAGCTGTGAAGTTTATTAACATTTTGGGGGCTCTGTATACAAACTTCAGACTGAGTGAGATCATACGACCACATTTTTCTATTGTTCCAATCAAACAGTGGAGTTTGTCAATGTCGTATAATTCCATCATTAACCATATTCCTCAGGCAGCTCTGAAGGAAGTATGCGATGGTGGGGTGAGTTTGTTACATGAGGAAAGATTTCAGCTGTGAGTCAACGGATAATATTGTTTTACTGTGCGATGATATACTAGATATTCTGTTGGGAATTAATGTCCTTATGTGAAGCATGTACTTTCTTATTTTCAAGTGCTTCTGCAAGACTGAGGAAAGCCTGTTTCTGCACTTCGTCTTTATGATAAGCGGTTGGAAAAACTCGTCTGTTTGAGCAGTTGTGTTAGTGCTGAATGTGGCATAGCAGAAATGAGATCAATATACGTATAGTGAAGGCCGGAATAGCATATGCAAATCTGGGAACTGCATGATCTTAGTGTGGTTGTTGAAGGTCAGGATCACTTGTTAGTGAGAACATTTCTAGTATGTTTTGAAAACCTAGCTCTTCCGAACTTGTTGTATTTTTAACTGAATGGTATCTCTAATCATATACCATTTTAATTCATTTTACTACCTTTCCTGTATTTCTTCACAATATTATCAATGAAGTTGTATGGAGCATATTTTGTATATTCTCTTATGTTTTAAGTAAACAAAAAAAAAGAATACTCTAAGCTTATATTTCTACAGCTGTGTCTATGTTTGTATTGTTTCTGATTGTCTTAAATTTTAAAAAAATTCTATAAATCCTTCTAGCAACTTTTCTAAATTACTGGTCGTTTAATGTGAAATGAAAATTTATTACTTCTGAGATGTTCTAGAGTGTTATATACAGGTTACCATAAACTTAGTTTAAGTGATCTGTCAAATTGACTAGATCATGTTGTAGTTTCGAACAATTTAATATAAATCCTTATTGATACTTCAGAAATTATTTTCTTCCTAATGTTTCAACTTTATTATTTTATAGGGGAATGTTTTACTACTACTCTGAACATCAAAATTGTACTTAGATTAAATTGATGAATATCTTGAATTTTCTTTTATTGGGTCTATTTCGTTTATGGTATTGATTATATTCATTTTATTTACTTACATTACTTTTAAATAATCTACTTTACAATTGACAGTTAAACAAATCTCAGGAGAACAACAAACAAATTCTCCATGCAGTATTGCACCAACTAATTCATTTAAATCCAATAATTTTGATTCATCATCATCTTCACATATTTCATCTATCAAAGAACCAATGGATACTTCGTACTTAAAGACAAATTCATCATCTTCGGCTGTGATAGAACTAGTGGAACAGCTGATGAAACAATTCTCAGGAGCTGAAGTTGACACACATGAATATACTTACCTTAGATGTATGGTTATACTTAGCTCCGGTAGGTAAAATGATATTATTTATTTTAAAATGTTACATTGTTTTTTTCTACATATTTTATTACCATTAAATAGAGTTGAGCTAGTTATATATTACGTCATATTCATTTAAAATGATATCTGTTGTTAAACGGTAGGTAAAATAATGTAATTTTTCTTTAGCAATTGATTCAAAGGAAATCGTTCTTTTTTTTCCTTTACATTAAATCGTACATTAATTCTCCATTGAGCTGAATGTCGAGGACTAACTACTGATTAATTATTGACTCACATATTGATATACGACTACATTAATTAATTTGGGGAATGATTTTCTTTTAGTTCATATATATCTATTGATTATCAATATTATTTATAGACTTTTTTGATCATAACTTCAGTTTGTTAAGGTTCTAATCAGTATAGAATTAGATTTGAGATATTATTCTACTTTCATATTCATTAATTTATTGGATATAAATGTACTTATCCATGATCATTTCAAACTAATCTTATTCAACAATAGAAATTTATAGAAATTGTATAACTTTTAATAAAGTCTCATTTTTCTATTTATTTTTAAGGTCGTTTATGCATCAATGCAAGAGATGCCAGTTTAGCTAAACAAATTACTGAAATGGAATCACGTGTATTAAGCGAATTTTCTGAATTCTTGTCTACACGTGCAGCATCCTCTACAACTACTGGTACTGGTTCTCTTTCATCGAAAAGAACAAAACCTATTATTAAAAGAGTTCTTATATTGACACAATTATTATCTACACTGCGCTACTTAGATCCAAAAGATTTAGAAGAAGCATTTTTCTCAAGTGAGTTTTTTCTTTCTGTTGGTGTTCAATTTCTTCTGAACCAGTTAAAAGAAGTGTATATTTTGTTAAGCCATATAATGCATCAGTGTACATGGAGTTAGTCTCAATACTCTAAGACTGTGAATATATTTTTCTTTGTTAAAAATAATCTCTCTTGGCCAGTAGTTTATTAACTAATGACAGTCTCCACATTATAATCAAAGTAACTTTTAGGTAGAGATCGGCTTACCTAGTCTTTTTTAAAGGGTAGCCCTGATAATATTTTTCTAGTTCATTTTTCCGCTATAGCATTTACTGTTGCTTGGTTATCATCACCCTTAGTTTACTTCATCAAGTGCCCGAAGACCATTGTTTAATACTATAAAAACAGCTGTTCCTCTCCAAATTTCACTTCTGTAATGAATATAAAGTTACCCTGAATATTCTGTTTTGCCTATTTAGCGTGTTTATTAACGTTGAACTGTGCAGATATCCAGCCCATTCTAGTTTCTAACCTTGAGTCGTAATATTAGAAGAGTCCTCAATCGTTCGTAAACGAAATGTACCGTAGGCTGACCGGAGACCTTAATCGTTATCGTGGACACGTGGCAGTAACTAAGCAGCTCCTATATGATTTTGTTTAGTGTTCATATCCTTTATCAAATGCCAACGGAAGTAAAAAAAAAAGCCCAACTAGTTTGTGACTCCACGTTATGTGGATATGATCGAACTTGTAGGTAAAATCTTTTGTTTGTTCGAGATGTGTACATCAATGATGATGTATCAATGCAAGGGAGGATATGTATATAAAATTTTATTCATTATGTATAATTTAGATATCCTTGGATTTAGATTGTCGCTGTGACAGTCCGTATTCAAAAAGCAAGTAGGAAGCTGTCTAGTCAAGTTCACAGTTAGAATCCGGTTAATATGATATTCTCTGATATCAAATAGGAGTAACTGCAAATATTTCGGTTCTAAATAAATTTCCATCATCTAACAAACTAACCACAACTGTTAAACAACAATCTTATTTGAGAAGGATTTGGCAAATAAAGTGAATTAAGTTGGACGTCAGTATGCGGATAACAAGTTCCAAGGGCACTCTACTAGATTATTTCAAGGTCGTCCACATACTAATCACGGTGGACCTACTCAACACGGAGTCAATAGTTTATACAAATATTATAGCAGACTTAGCGATCTTATTTCCATGAGGTAGTAGTTATCCATAACTTATTATCAAATACAATTACTATGCACCGATTAACATTTTAAAGTATGCTTTGTTTCATATAATTACGAAATAAACTGTCAATTTTTCCTTTTTTACTGCCAGATTTACTTGGTTCTGTATCGATTGCTCAGATCCTCCCATACTTACTGGAATCAAATGACCTATTTACTCAAAGTCAATTAGTAATGAATTCATGCCTGCCGGATAATTCTCTGGATTATAAGCCCGGTTTAAATCATGTCAAACCTCCTAACAAACAAGCTTTGAGGTCTGGTTTGGAAGATAGTGTGACAAATTTTACCGGGGATTCTCTCCCTAACAACATGACGGAGAAAACTGATAATCCTTCCTCTTCGTTGTTTATCCGCCCCGACCAGACGTCTCCACAGAGCAGATCAGCTTCTTGTGAGATCACAGTCACGAACATTGAACTAAACAATCAAAACACAGAACCAGTAAATAGTATATCATTTGCGAACGACGAAACTAATGACTTAGCCTAGGAATCAATGTTAGGATACATAATATTTAATCATAGATGAAATAGTTTCCCTCCTATAACGTCTTTCTTATCAAACCGCATCAAATTTGAAAGGACTGAGAAGATAAAGCGCCTTCTTGCTTTCAGCGCCATTCCGTTCAAAAGATTACTGCTTATTAAGTTCTATGCTGAAAACAAATATTTGAAGTGGTTTTACATGACATAAAAATAGATAATTATAATACTTAACAAAATATGCACTAGCGATTATTTGTGCCGGTATAAAAAGGGTGGTTTCAACGTTTATCTTCTTCTCAAGATCTTTTCATTCAGTAATTATAAAAAAGACGAAATTTGTACATTTTTCTAAATTCTTTACTTACAGTCAGAATGAGGGTTGTAGTTACTCATTTACACTTTCCAATTTATACACATTATACATTCAGCCTTTGATGATATACAGCTACCTCATCTCTCTGTACACCAGGTTTAATACGTATTCGTTATTCTTGTTTCGTGTTGTTGATGATGCAAAACATACAAATTAGAAGATCCTCTTAATCATTCCTATAATTTACCCATATATATATACTCACCTATAAATATGTATACATGAGCCTACTTTTTACAGCTTTTAATTTTTTGTCCCGTTTAATGATTTCAGATTATTTATATCGTAAACAAAAATTATAAATTTGGCAAACTTTTTTATTATCTATACATTTGTTGTCTTGCTTAAATAATTTTACTATCTACTGATAATGATTTAAACTGTTATGATTTCAAACTACTGATATGATTTCTATTCACTCGACTATTGTGTATTAATTGAACATTGAGAGTAAATACAATAATGATAATTGTTACTGACGGACGAAGAGCGCCATCTCTTGATTTTGTGATTTGAATCTAACTCAACTAATTTATTTATGAGTGAACAAATATTACATAAATACACTAATGAGTGGATCAGGAACTCGGGGTACTCTTATACTTCGGTTGCTTTCACCTTTTACTATTTTCTTTGCCTACAAAAATCCATAATGTATTTAACTAATGTTGTGTGATATCTTGAATATGGAATTAACATCTTACTTCTCTTCCTATCTTGTTTTTGTTTTGTGCCTGTACTCCAAATGTAGATGTGTTAATAACCGTGATTTAAATATTAAAATAATATTGTAAGTCTATGTTTGTCTCTCTCCATATATATACTTCAAACTATTATGTGGACGTAAATTCAAAGTTCCAGGTTCCCATAGATACCCTAACATGTTATGAGAGGAACTTCAGCTAGGCTGTAGATGCCTTTTACTATTAGCGCACCTATTTTTTTGACACACAATTATCTTTCGTAAACAGATATAAAGCAAAACACAAGATGTTATCGTAAGTAATCTTTCAAACAATTAACGAGTACGATAGCAATCTACATAATTAGTACAATTTGACACAGTTTATTGGTTAAGAATTACATGTTAAGGGCTCCACTTGTCGGCTAAGCTTCGTAGACCAATCACTCTAATTTAGAAAGAATTTTACAAAAATGGTAAATATTATGCATATGTAAATGGAATAGTTGGCTTTAATGCGCTAAGTAGTTAGCTCGTTTATTGAAATAGTATTGAACACCTGAAAAAATTAGCAGGACGACGTAGATCCCAGCAGCTATAAAACAGTTATTTGACACCATTACATAAGCTTCCTCCACATGTAAGGGAGCATAGCCACTAGCAGCCCAAGCTGTTTCATTTAGTGGTATGTCTTCAGAGAATGCGACTGAGTTTACGCGTGCAAAAACACCCATAAGAAGCTGTAAACAAAACAATCAGATAAGATAGGGTTAGAACTAACGACTAATAGGAAACCTATATAGCAGGATAAGTCCTGATACTAGTAAATGACCATAAATTATTCCAATGCATTAGAACATTATAAGGCAGAATAATGCTTATATCTAACTGCAGGAAAAATAAAGTATTCAATAAAAGGATGACGGTATTAGCAGTACACACACTTAAGATACTAAAATACCTAACTTTTAAAATCTCAACCAAAAATAAACATGCTTTTTTGAGGCTTCCACCACTATGAAATAAAGTGCTGGGAAGTTAAGTTTTCTCATTTTATGGAAGCAGGTATTGTATCCTGGTCACAAGGCATGGTAGTAAAATTTTAGTGACCCAAAAGAGTTACGTCTAAAGTTTGACGTGAGAGCTTTACATTGAATTTAACTTCCCTGTGGACAAGTGATAACGGTGGATTTGTAATACAAACGGATCGACGCTTGTGACAAAATGCAACGATAATTATGCTTTTAAGCTTGTCTAATTCACGCTCCTTTTATTTTACTGATAACGTTGAGTGATTACTACGTATAATTTCTCATCTACCCATAGAGTAAAGCACAAAGTATAACTACTCCATTGATTAGATAAAAAATATTTTACGAAGTTCCAGCAGTAATATTCCTGATTAGAGCTTGTAGTTTGGGCTATGTATGACTGCAACAACGTCAGTGGTTTCAGCATGGTCACTGGACTGTATGTCTACTTACATAATACGGACGCTCGGCACTTACCTACTGAAATTTTTAGCTACATGTTTCAATGGCACAGTAGAGGATACCTTAGTGGTTAAAACACTTGAGTTTCACATACTAGACAGTGGTTTGGACGTCGTTTTAGCTATTTCGATCTGGACAGTCAGACAATATCGCTAATTTTAAGAGTACAGCTAAAACTGAGTACGTAAATCTAATTGTCTATGGTGTTCATCTATATTAGTTCACCAAGAAAAAGTATAACAAGTAACTTACTGAAGACCTTAACAAGATCCGAATAGTCAATGGACACAGCTTCTTTATTAATCGTGCCCATGTTCTAACAAATTTTGAGTATCAATAGTTTGAAAAGTTTGTTAATATCCGCTAGTTTTATACAGGTCGTTTTTCTAACAAATCGTAACTATAAATTACATTATTTCAATAAGACTGCTTACGCAGACTTTAGAAATACACTTTCAGTAACCTCATTCTAGAATGGAATGCTCTTTTAATTCAGTCAGTTATCTAAAACGTAGGACCAAGCACATATATGCATCGGCCCGAATTCGCATACCTCATTAGTACAAGATGAACATTAAATCCATAGAAGCAGTTACTTTAATGGTAGACTGGAAAAAGACTGCATATAAGGACATGATATAGGGAGAGAGAATTGGTTCATAGAAGGAAAGGTAAAAAAGTAAATTTAATCTCAGTTTTAAATGTGAACACATGAATTAGAGATGGAATTTTGTAACAGGTTCATTACTTAGAATAAGAATTTCTTATGAATAACCAGGTACATGTCCTCAGACGAATGCGTCACGAAATCCCAAACCACATGGTGAATCTTACGGGACTTATATGCTAAGTACTACAGGCGGTGCATGGCTACATTTGAATTTTGTATATCCATGTCGGAAATATACCGTGCATTGAATATTTGAGATACTAAGGATTAAAGGATATATTTCAGAAGACACATAACGTGCAACTAAGTATCCTGTTCTAGTACGTTAGAACTATTGCGGATGCCTGTATTGTTCGTAAATGTAACTGGATCAGAAGCCCACGATACTGTAGGTATGGTTTTGGTTACGAGGATTTTTGAGGAAAAAATATGCGCAGGTAAGGGTGGTGATGATCAATAAAGATCACACAGGAAATTAGCCAACTCAACTTAAGGAATCCAGGTTATGGGCTGAGAAGTAATATGAAACTAAAACCTTGTTGTTTGTAAAGAGGGAAGTCTCCCCCATTTACGGGATATAGTTATGTACGAACTCAAAAGTCTATAAATCGAGGTACTGTGTTTTGTATATTCGGTTTTTGATAATAAAGTCAAAAAAGTTACACTTCACATGAATGGATAGATTGTTGAAATATCACTTAACTTAAGAATAAAACGCCTGTTTGTTGAACCCCAACATTTACAACAAAATGTAGACATGATTTTTAGGTTTATATAGTTCACTTAAACTTTTAGACTGACAGTAGGATTATCGTGAATTAAAGAACGGATAGCTAAAATCACCGGCTTTTTCCTTAGTTTTCATATAGTAACGAATTTGACAAAAAGGTGACTCTTGGCCCATCTTATTTAACAGGGGAACATTAAAATATGTGACTATAACTGATTCGTGCCAACCATTATAAATTACAGCCAATTCATCACAAATGAACACCCACTTAAAACAAGGAACAAGGTAATATCAAAAGTAATGATGGAAACTAGCTTGGATTCAGAAGTCTGAAAAACATCTACAAGTCTGATAAATGGTTTTGGATTTAGTTACTTACACCCGTGTAACTTGTCATCACCTTAAAATACATTTTCATGAAAATTCGCTGATTTTTTAACATAAAAATGTTGTATGCAATAAAGTCTGGAGGGAAGATATCAAGCAGACGAACTGGAACGTCCATTATTCATTGAATTACTTCATCTTTATACGTGAAGGAATCTAAGGAAGATACCGGATTGCATGATGGATGGTCAAACAAACCTTATCAAGTAAATATTGAGTTTAATTTAAAGAAAATATCCGATAGGTGAGAAATGAGATGGCTGGAACAAAAACTAGTTCTACATAACGATTCACCGGACGAGTTGGGTTTTTTTGACGCTATGTGATATTCAAAAGAGAATGAGGACTTCTGCAAACCTAGGATATTAGTTAAGTACATTAAATATACCTTCTGGATAAAGTATGGGTTGCCAGAAGTGCGTAGATGTAACTTCCACATTTGATATAATCCTAAACAACCATTATACAGTTACAAACGTTTACACTTCCAGCAACCAATAATTAGCCCAGAAATTAGGTAACGGTGGCTAGCTTACGAAATTTAATGAGAACATGTGGTATTTGTACTAACCGATGATTCCTTTGTACTTGATGGTACGCTTAAGAGTATTGTGTTTGGAATTCGTAATCATTATTACGAATTCCAAACACAATACGTTCAGTCGAGGTCACTTAATTTCACACACCTTAAATTACACTATTTCCGGAGTTCATAGTTAGAAAATCAGTTTAAGTACTCTTAATCATTATAGAATATTCTCCTAAATTTACTTGATGAAATTAATTAAAATTTGTCAACAGTTAAGGCGAGATAGTTCTTTCCAGAGTTCACATCTGGATATGACAAATTTCCGCTATTTAATTTATTTATTTTTGAAGACTTACGAGCATCAATATCCCCCAAACACTGAGAAGAAGAAGAACCACCGAGCACTTTGGCCCTACGAGCGCCATTTTTATACTTGCGCGCCTGTTCTCTAATCCTTAAACTGCCTCAATCCAAATAGTGACTTGATTATACCTTTTGATATGTATATGAGTTGTACAATACTATACTTGATTGTGAAACGAAAGAATTTGGATAAAATCAATGTTCGTTGTTAAATTGCCAATATTAAGCGTTTCCCGTCCACTTAGAGAGTTGATGCTGGATATGGGAAGAAAATTTTTCACTTATTATTTAATTCTCGCTTGTACATTTTACTTCGTCCGATTTTTTATACCAGGAATTTGCAATGGGCTACCATGTACCATCCGTTGAAGACAAGTGTAAATATCCTTAAATGATTGAAATGAAACTTCCAGTGAAAACCGAACTACTATTTGCAGTACTGACCCTGTAGTTAAACAGGAAGTTGTCCTAAAATTCTTGTAGGGTCAGTGAAATGTCTATGTTCCCAAGCCAAATCATACGAAAGTCTTGTCACTGATTGTGAAACAGTTCACTGATACTCGTTAAGGTCAAGGGCAACCAACGCGCATCAATTTATGGACGGCCCATGCAGCAGTGATCGCACTCTGCTCCTTGTACCTACTCTGTAATAACTTCGTTTGTGTTGTACGATCATCAAGGTAGCGATTGTACCTGGATACTACGAAAGGTTGATCAATGTTAGATACTTAGCACGTGGTATGACTACGACGCTATCTGGTTGTTAGCACCATTACCGTCTAACTCAGCTAGGCCCCTAAGTTTTCGACACAGATCATCTACATTCCAGATACTACACGCTTATAGAATAGTGAAAAGGGATAATTATTGTAGCGCCAAAAATTCTTGTTTTGAATGTTTGGGTGGATGAAAATTGGTATATTTATGACAACTCAAGTTGAGTGATTAAAAATGTCCCAAAAACATCATGGTAATGTCAAATAATTACGGCTCAAATATTTATTTCCTTTCTTATTTTGCGCTGGCATTACATTTCCTACTATCCCATATTGAACTTTGAGATCTTTTTACTCGGTTGAAATCATTACCTCGTGCTCTAATTGTACTGTTTCATGATCTGAGAAAAACCTACTACAGCAATCAGCTTGGCTTATTTGAAATGGAAAAGCGAAGGGTAACTGCCAGTATCAAATTCAATGCAAGAAGCTTCTGTTTTATTTATTTTTTTGTTAGGTCGTAAAACGAAACCTGATATATCAGTAAAATTATCGTGAACATAAGTTCCATATACACATATCGAACATTATCCACGTTGGAGTCATTTGTTCGCTCCGTTTACATTATATTCATACATCTGTCACTTAATACGTGTCAGACTGAATACGGAGTGAAAGCCTGTAAGATAAGTATGAGATGTCACCGGAAGAATTAGAAAATCCTTGGAATAAGAAAGCGTGACTCCACTAATTGGACCGTAGTGGCTTTGAGTTGCTCTGTGCTCGATCGGAGAATTATTTTCACGAGACATATTATATCTGATGTAACTTGCTATCCTCTCTCCTTCAGTTACCAAAGAAGTGTGCAGCTTAATTTTGATTCCCCTAACCATGCGTCCTTTTAAGACTTGAGACAATGAACCATCTGTTGTCATTAGACGGCCAAATAATTCAAAGGCTCTATCAGGGAGAAACATCAGGTAATAGGTCACCACCTCAAATTGTAGTGGCTAGGCTTCGGGATAATTCCTTAGGCTTCGTTTATCAATCACACTGATAACGGTTGATAAATAGATCTCAACGGTGTATGAATTCAAAAGGCTATACAAAGGCTAGACTACAGTTTATTAATAGAAAGTGTGGATAACAAAGTTACAAGCACATGGAGGGAATTTGAACAAAAAGTCTAATGCACGCGAGCAAGTGAACACAGAGATGGATTCAGAGTCAATATATGCCTTATGCACAAAGGCATATAGATGATTTGTCATTCGGCAGTTCGGATCTAAAATCTCATAAATAACACGAAGGGGAGTGTTTAGACGGCTAAATAAAAAGAATGAGAGTACATCAATGTAGTTGTGCTTTTGCAGTTCAAAGCTTTGAATTTTTCGGCTACGCAATAAGCCTGGGAGCGATTACACCTATCACAGATCAGGTAGACAACTAAAGATGCCACAGATATTCGAAGTTTAACGACTTACTTATCTGTTACACATTTTCAACCTAAGTGGGCCGACCCATTCAAATCTGGAGTCACAAATTAAGAGGTTAGAGTATATGTTTCAAAGGCTATAGATATATCAAGAAGCGTTTAGTCTAGGCTGGGTAGTAGTTGTAAAAGATGTGTAGCATGGCATACTCACTCATGATCTGGCGTGAGTGAGTGGACGAGAGCCTTCACTAGGTGTGTGGAGCAAAACAGATAAGGTTAACATCAGCGTCGAAAACTTACAGAACAATTTGTTTTGGGGGTTTATTCACTACTACAGTACTGTTCCACGATCTCAGTAAAACCTTACTGCAACCACCAGCCTGGCCTCTTTGAAATAGGGAACAACGTGTAAATTTCAGCAATAAATACTCTCAGATAGGATCATTAGTCTTTAGTTAAATGTGAAATCACTAACGGAAACGACAGGGTGCACCATCATTATCTAAGTTCTACAACTTTGAAAGTTTATTCACTTAAACTTCACATGCCTTTCTAGGTGGTCTGTCATGGTATGCTTTTAGGTGATTTATTCGTTAGTTTCGCTTCAGCCGCTATAATTACAATACTTCAACAAATATGTAGCAACGAATATATTAAGTTATGAAAGGAACAGTTATCAAGATCCTCGTATGAATTGAAGTGCAGTGAAGTATAATTGGTGTAAATCAACGTTAAAATGAAGATTGCAATCGAATTTCCCAAGTAAAACAAAATGTATGAGGATTTAATGAGGTATTTGACAGAAACGCATGATTGTATTTAATAGTACGACTTCAAAGTTGCCTAGTATACATAATAAGTCAACCGTATATAGTGGAATCAAGCGAAGATTGCCTTATTATTATTGACCACAACAATTTCAAATAATTTGTTTCTGTGTCAACTATATTCCCAAATTGATTGCCCGTATTTCCCCCTATTTTTGTTTTACGTTGGATGTGTGCTAACCTCTTCAGGAACATTATATTTCGGTTGGCTCGGCTATAATAAAGTACACGTCAAATATTTAACCAGAACCTTCGTCATTCCATACTGTTCTTGACTTCTCAAATACTTCATTCAAAGCCCACAAAATGACGGTTGATGGTTGATTTATTTTCTCGTAATTTCGTAACCCGTTATTCTGATAAGCTGAATGTCCTGAAAGTCCTTTCAAAGTTCTGTATTCAACAGTTGTCTTTTCTTAGGGTCACTACGATCGAATTATAGGTGTTTGACTAACATAGTCATGACTGTCTATTTCTACTGGTGACAACTCACAATGGTCTTTCAGGCTTTCGGTTTGGGTTGACTGTGAAGTATGGTATATGACCAATATATGAATACAATATGAACGGGGTAAAACAATGACTACAACACGAGTAATTCTCAATATAAAACAACATTCATGCCGGACATAATCAGAAGGTTTACTTTTACGACTAAACAAAAGATATTGATAATATGCAGAACAAAAATTAAATTTGTGCACAAAATAGGGCTACTCAATTCCATGCTCGTGAGTAACCCTCGTTTTGCAGATATAATAAACTGGACTGATAGTGAATAGGTCTTGATGTAGATCTTAGACTGTCCAGTAGACCGCGAGGTTATCTTTTCAAGCACACAAAGCTTTTCAACATTCAATACAAAATAATGTGAGAGATAATACACATAAAAAATAAAGAAACGAATGAATACTTGAGTTTTAATGTTCAGAAATTTACTTAGATGTCTGTGGTCGATTCTTAACCAATCAACCTAAGTTGTTGCAACTGTCCAATCAGTGATACCCTATATAGAAGTCTCACCATTGTCTAAACTGAGCCGTCCTTTCGTGACAATAGGTGGTTGTCGATAAAGCCGTCTGGAGAGTAAATATGGGCTGTAAGAGATAATATATTTGATATGAAAAGGAAAAAGTTGCGTGATGCTACCACGCCTGAGTAGCCGAGCCATGTCATACCGGTTAAGTGTTCCCGCACTCACCATTTCTGACCTCTCCCTGCCAAATAATGGATGTGAATCTTCTCAGTTATCGTATGTCTAGCTTCGAGGTTCATGTGGTTGAGAACCAACAGCACAATGTTTTCGTACTACGGAAGCTTTTGACTATATACTAGGTTAGCTGCACTGCTGAGGAATTTTATGTTTTTTGATGCAACTTCACATAGTAGCACTTTCCTAATTCAGCACATCGATTGTGTTTTAATATAATGATTGAGAGGGGAACCCGAAGAAGCGTCGCACAATATAGAGAACGACGTGGTTTGATGTTATCGAATAAACCTTGGCTTTGTCGAGTTCTTTTTACTTTCAGACCAAACAGTTGAAGTCTGGTCATTGGGGTTATTATGACATCCTTGTCGTAATTTTATTCAGGTGTTTAATGATCTCATTTCTTGGTGATCCTGCTGCAAGCATTGGTCTGAAATTTCCTGGTTTATTTACTCTGTGACTTCAGTAATGCATATACTTGCTATGTTTACCGTGGGTGATTATGAATGGTGCTGCATTTTCAAATTACGGACTTTTGCCGTTTACATTTGCTTCCATTAACTGACATACACCATGTACACTTTGTTTTGTGTGGTTTCTATAAGCACAATCGAGGTTCGCTCATCGGATCTTTGTTTACTTCCCCTTAGCTTGTTTTGCGT